TTTTCATTTGCCATTGAAAAACATAATATAAACATATAATGCAGACAATTAAATAACCAGGAACCTGACCGCGACTATGGCATTAAGTATGGCCAAAAGATTATCAGAATGAAAAGACTTACACTCTCTTAAAGAGATTCCGATAAGTGATGCTTTTAAGCTTTTCGAGCATAAGATAGACACCAGAGTTAATGAAGAAGGGCTCAAAACGTTCGAGCTCGTCATTCAACTTCTTGAGATTTCCTGATCTAGAAAAATAAAGCAAAATGAATTGATCCACGTAAAAGAGAACACAAAAACTTGAAATTGCCTCGGTGACTTGTATAATTTGATAGGAAAAAAGCAATTTAGCTTCTGGTCATTCCCTAAAACTGGCCAACCTGGATGCAATTGCAGGTGGGTAGCCCGTACATTGTAAATTCCACAGCAGGCTCTAAATGTGGTGGCTACCAGTTACTCCATACTGGTAAGAGTGGACCGAGCTAATTTTGTATACCAAGGCATTAATGTGAATAAGACCCTTGAATCATAATTATGATTTATCAAAAGTCAGATTGATCTGTACCACAGCCTCTTCAATGAACAGCATCGTCTTAAGCAATGAACTATAACTAGATTAAGTGAAAAGTAGCATCAATCTCATAGACCAAATTTCTGCTCAACAGTAGTAACGTTTCCCTTACCTTTATCTTGAAACCGTTCATATCTCAACACTAAATCTTAAACCCTTAATCAAATTTTAAATGATCAATACTCCTCAAAAATCAGGTTGCGTCCTAGCCTATTTCAATATATACATCCAAGGCGTGCTTAGTTTTGAGTGGGCTTATAGAAACAGACAATTTTATCAACAATCTCATCTGCCGGTTTCATTGATCTGAATTTATACCTCCATATGGCGTACCAACATAATAGGCAAAAGACCGAAGTAAGTAGAGCTACATAGGCGGGATCAGTTGGTTTCCTACGAGCTAGAGAGGTTTGTTTGTACCAGAAAGGAGCTATAAAGAACCAGAGTTCTTCATGAGTGATTCACATTAAAGCAAAAATGAAAAAAATACCCTTGCTGGCCTGGCTCTAAATGTGACAGTAAGAGAATGATTACTGTGGGCAAGATCGGTGAAGCAAGTGCGCATGGAACCATCATTAGTGTATCGTTAGTAGGTTAGATGAGGAGAGAAATGTTGAAAAAGTGAGAAAACTGAAAGGGTTTGTTAATTTTGCGTGAAATAAGACAGATGGAATAGTTAACTTTAATCAGAAGACTAAGCTGCTTAAGGCTCATACACTTTAAGTTTGCAAAACAAAGGAGTGTGAACATGAGAAGAGACTAATCCTGACCATGTGAAGTGGAAATAAAAGAAGAGGGAGATTAGAAAAGCACCTATTTGTCCTTATATTTAATCAGGCAGACTTGGATATCTAAATTCCTGGATTAATAAAGAATATAAGAATTTTGCGAGTAATAAGCCATACTGATAAAAACAAAAGTATACGAAAACTAAGGTTGTATGATAAAAAATATTTATATTATATATATATATATTATATTATAGTGCACTTATAATTAAGCTGAGCAAAAAGGGGCATCAATCAGAGATTTTGGCCTGAGTGAGCCTTGACAGAGGAAAATAGGCCGAAATATGGCGTATAATATAACTCGGAAGTTAGAGTTAACTAGTTAGTCCATATTTAAATATAGACTAACTAGCTGGATAGTGATATATTTAAGGCGTCGGCGTTGATTATCATATAAAGCAATTTCTCATTCATTATTTTTCTCCATTTATGGTGTTGGAAACAGACCCCAAGAATTCAGAGGCTTGTCTGGCATGTCAGACTCGTGCCAGTGAGCTTAGCATACTTTCTGGTTTCCCTCCTTGGCAGACAAGGCCTGTGTAAAATTATAATAAAGCCAAATTTACACACTCCAGTCGCTCTCAGGGTGCTGTCGACGGTTGCCGGAAAACTTAGCCTTTAGATGAAAATCAAACCCTTACATAATCGCACGTTCAATACAAAATCACAGAAACCTAAGGTGATACCATTATTATATCGAGTAGGAGATGCTCATGCATCTGCAAAGTAAAGGACAACTTAGTCATGACTGAATTTCCATACATTATAATTTAGTGATATAAAAAGTAACGGAAATCGTAAGAGCAAAATTCAAATAAAAAAGTAGACTACCAAATAATAAAATTTGATCAATAAGAAAGATTATTTAAGCGGAATAAGAAGGAAATGCAATGATTTCTAAAAAAATAATAATGCTAGAGAAGACTCGAGCACTCGGAGAAAGAATAGTTAAAGTTAAGCAGGCTTAATTACTTCACAGCTTCGACTATCCCCAAGAATTCCTTTAAGTTGTATTTATAAAGAAGAGCTGCATTTGGTAGAGTACCCTAAAAACGAAACATATAGGTTAAACAGATAAGAATGGAAAATGCTCACCAGCAGCATTCTAACAGGTATAAGGTATATTAAAATGAGGCGTTTGTTGTTGCGCCTTGAGGGAAAACAATGCTCGAAGGCAAATGTAAGAGATCTGTTTGCTATAAAAATAGCAATGAGTCATGAAATATGATATACCTGCAGAAAATTCCCCGTCAAACATTGCTTTTCGGCCAACATAATAACAATAAGTGACGCGCTGCGCCAAAGAAAAGTGTTCATTCATATCCATATTTTCAAGTGCTCTGATCATTGGCTTGCATAAGTTCAATCGATTAATCTATAGAAAATGATACGTAGAGAGATTCACTTGAAAATATATCTTGAAGAGCTGATTCGCAAGACCCATCATACCAAGCTTCTTGGAGTCCTCAAGTTGTGTCCGACTGTCACTGGCACATATTTGAAATAGCTTAAGAATAAGTTGAGCAGTCTTCTCCATTCTTCCGCCGTATGCATGCTTTGCCTCAGACCGTATATCAAGTGCTTGCGAAAAACGACGTAAATCAACAGCAACGGCAATTACTGCGGGAAGTACCCAGTTGTCATCCTTTAAATCTGTTAATATCTTTACTATAGATGTATATTGTAAAAGTCAAGAAAAGCGGTGCATTGAGATTAAATTTTAAAAGATTAAATAGATAAATAAGGATATTTTGTCACTATGGCTTGACAAGCATATGCCTCCTCATAGTCTTCTTTATTTAGGGTCCAGATGCCCCTAGTAGTTGAGAAAGAAAACTATAAGCAAACCTTAAGTGAGCGGATATGGCTTCATCCCATGGAGGTGGTACATGATTCATGACAATATTCTCAGGCTGAGGATTAGCTAACCGATTATTCCGCATGTGAGGGTCTGTACAGCGAAGAAATCGCTAAAAAAATCGCATAAAAGGCACACATACTGCCAGCAATGATCCATTTTTGTTCGTGATAGCAGATTTTATCTATAGCACGAATATAACTAAGCTAGGTACAAACCTCCTGGAGGTACTGCTGTAGGGAATGATAAGCCATTTGAAAGTGCCAAAATAACTTTTAACAAGTAGATGCCAAGAAAGTGTATATTACAGTTTTATATTAAAGAAATATAATTAAATTATTTAAATCTCTAAAGAAAAACTGCATTTTTTGAGTGGATGTTTAAATAGTTGTTTCTTGTGTCCACTGTCAATTGGCTCGTTGTTATATCCCGCAATGATTAAGCGGCTTGAGCCCTCGACGTCACTTTTGATATTTTGTTCATTAGGCATCTTTATTTCCTACTTTATATACGGAATTCTTCAGGAAAGACTGTAAATTATCTCTTTCTAGTATTTTAAATATCCCTTAAACTGAACTGGTGATGTGTTCTGTTTCTCGTTTACTTTGTAAAAAAAATAATGAGGACTTATTTCAATTTTAATTACATTTGGTTTATGATTGGTGAGGCCTTATTCCAAACTTATGCTTAGTATATGATTTATAACAATTTCTAGTACTCGTTCCAATGATCGCCTACCCATTCAATTCACCCGATTTGGTTTTCACTTTTAGTACCAACGCAGAATATGGTCCAAATGGCTCTCGATTCATCTACTTCTTCTCATTAATCCTTGTACAATGCTTAGTGAATTCACTGTTTGCCAAAGCAGGCACTCTCCTATTTTTATTTTATTTATTTTTTTAGCCATCATTAGTTCCAAGGAGCTACGACCAAAAGTTCCGACAAAATATTATGCTCTTTGTGCTTTTACTTATGTCGCAGCTATGCTATCGAGTAATGCAAGCTTGCGCTTTGTCAATTACCCAACACAAGTTTGAACTTATTCTACATAATTTTCTAGATTATCGGCAAGTCGGTGAAACCAATTCCGATTATGCTGTTTAATGTCTTGTGGGCAAAACGAAAATTCCCTCTGCATAAATATTTATTTGTTCTCATGATCACTGCCGGCGTAGTACTCTTTTTAGTAAAGAATCCATCTTCCGGTTCCCAGTTTTCATTCCACATTGGTGAAGCTCTATTGGTTTGTTTGCTTTGTATTACTTGGTCCCTTATAGGTCTTGTCCTTGGTGTTCGATGGTCTTACTGGTGGGATACAGGAGGATTTGCGCTGTCGCTACGTCGTCGGCTCTTACTCTTTAATGCTCCAAATGAATATTTGGTCCATAACTTACCTGTCTGTTGGTATGCTATTCTTTAAAAATTCCAACTGAAAAAAATGTTTTTTTGATTATGAACTTGCTTTCAGCTGTTCTGGGAACTGGCGAAGTTTCAAAGTTCATCGACTTTGTCATCCTCTACCCTGAGGTTATTTGGAATATACTTTTATTTAGCGTGGCAAGCGCTATTGGCCAGGTAATTTTTTTTACTGAATTAGATTCCTTATTTACATTGCTCTGATTAGCTCTGCGCAATAAACTGTATACTGATTGCAGCCTGTAAGACAATCTCATTAAGCTATTCTTCGCAAATTAAGGCGACTCAGTGTATATTATTAGAGGCCCGAAAAGCTTCTGAAGAAATCTTCTCATTTTTGGGCACCACATCCTATCTTCTGTGACATTGCATAGTACGAATACAATGCGGTGTGGCCTGCTCATTTTTTTTACTTTTTACTTCCTTAGGGAAGGAAGCTCAGTCCTCACATAGAGTTTCCTAATCAGAAAATCAGAAATCCCTAGAAGATGTGAAGACCAAGATGTTGTGGCCTCGGGTATGGTCGCAGTCTCCTTTCGACTTATAGAAG